TTACAATATCAGTATCTATGGTTTGCCCTGTTAACTCGTAGGCAGTTTAAGACCAGTTCTAATCTCTATAAGCATCTCTGAAGAAGTACCACTTTAAGAGGTTTTGCCAGCTTTTGCAGGCAGTTCTCTGTATAACTTACATTTCCTGTTTATAAATTGTATTTTTTTTCCCCCTCAAATCTGTCAGGTTTATTTTGTATTTTCAGTCTTATCCTCAGCAACTGATGGTAGTTTTCAAACCAGTTTTTCTCCGAGGTAGTAGGAAAATAATATTTTACTATAAAGTCATGGGTTTTAGCTTGCTTTTAGTTGTAGGAATATAATATTCCACAAAAGCATCTTTTCCTTTCTTACACTAGCAGTTAGAATTTGTTATTTGTTGTCAGTGTGAATAAGAACAGAATGTGATTTATCTGATAAAGATAAGTCCCTTTTAAAATGGTAAAATAACATTTTATAAACATCCTATACATTGTGTATGAGGGGAGAACACTGCATGTCATGCACTTGAGTGGAAGCAAGGCTTTTGCCACCATCTCCCAGAATATTCTTGTATCTAGGTTAGGATACTGTAGTTTGGATAACTGTATTACTAGGTGGGTCAAAGTCTAGCTGAACAATTAGGCTGAACGTATAGCCTAACAGGAGCCTTAGGAAATCCAACAAGGACAAATGTGGAGTCCTGCACCTGGGAATGAGTAACGCAGCCGTATGGGCTAGGGGCTGACTGAGTGTCAGAGATCAGCTCTGCTGGAAGGAACATGGACATCAGCAGGACCTCAATAGGCTGGAGAATTGGGCAGAGAGAAACCTAATGGGGTTCAGTAAGGGCCAGTGTAGGGTGCTGAACCTGGGGAGGAAGAACCTCAATAGGCTGGAGAATTGGGCAGAGAGAAACCTAATGGGGTTCAGTAAGGGCCAGTGTAGGGTGCTGAACCTGGGGAGGAAGAACCTCAATAGGCTGGAGAATTGGGCAGAGAGAAACCTAATGGGGTTCAGTAAGGGCCAGTGTAGGGTGCTGAACCTGGGGAGGAAGAACCTCAATAGGCTGGAGAATTGGGCAGAGAGAAACCTAATGGGGTTCAGTAAGGGCCAGTGTAGGGTGCTGAACCTGGGGAGGAAGAACCTCAAGTGCCAGTGCAGGCTGGGGCTGACCTACTAGAGAGCAGTTGAGCAGAGAAGGACCTGAGAGTATTGGTGGATGACAAGTTGACCATGAGCCAGCAGCGTGCTCTTGTGGCCAGCAGGGACAAGTGTCCTGGGGTGGCTCAGGAGGAGTGTAGCCAGCAGGTTGATCCTCCACCTCTGCTTGGCCCTGGTGAGGCCACATCTGGTGTACTGTATCCAGTCCTGGACTCCTCAGTACTAGAAAGGCAAGGAGCTACTGGAGAGGGTCCAGCGGAGGCCACAAGGATGCTCAGGGGTCTGGAGCATCTCTCTTATGAGAAGAGATTGCAGGAGGCAGGCCTGTTTAGAGAACAGACCAAGAGGGGTTGTCATTATTGCACATAAATATTTCAAAGGTGGGTGCCAGGAGGATGGTGCCAGACTTTTTTCAGTAGTGCCCAGCAACAGGACAAGGAGCAATGGCCATGAACTAAAACACAGAGAGTTTCACCTCAGCATGAGCAAAAACTTTATATTGAGGGTGGCAGAGCACTGGAACAGGCTGCCCAGGGAGGCTGTAGAGTTTCCTTCTCTGGAGACATTCAAAACCCTCCTGGACACATTCCTGTGTGACCTGCTCCAGGTAGCTCTGCTCAGGCAGGGGTTGGACTGGATGATCTCCAGAGGTCCCTTCAGACCCTAACAGATTTTGTGACTCTGTGATCTGGCGGGAAGCAAGAGCACAAGTCATCAGTGCTCCTTGGCAGCAAAGGGCCAAAAACATCTGGGGCTGTATTGACAGGAGGGTAACTGATCAAGTGAGGAAAGTGATTGCTTCCTCTACCCAGAACTTGTTAGACCACATCCAGAGCACTGTGACCTACTTTAGGCCCGCCTGATAGAGGAGCTGCAGAGGTGGTTGAGCTGGAGCAGGGGCCCTGTCAGCAGTGGTTAAGGGACTTTACTTTGAGAAAGAGGCTGGACTAGAGATCTGCTGATGTCCCTTCCAGCCTGAATAATCCCATGATTCTTGTAAAAGTCATTACTTAGATGTTAAATTTTTATACCCATGTCTCAATTTAAAATCGAATTATTTTATCTAACACGTAAGTCTTTCTCCTTTACCCTAGCTTTTATTATTATCTTAGTAGAGATAAAGAATAGTCTTTGCCAAAAATTACATTTTTATATACAGAATGTTAAAACATGCAAGTCTTTTATTCATGGTGTGAAACTACATATAAGAACTAGCTTTTGGTAAGATAACAGCATTAAAAAGGAAGGAAAAATAATTTTCTTTAAGCCTAAAGAACCAGAAAGTATGAAAATATTCCTGATACAAACCCATTATTGACAATACTTATCTCCAGTCTTAACAGAAATACCAAAAGATGTCTTTGATTATTTAAATTTTTGTATGTAACAGTGAAACATGTAGATTATTACTACTCAAATTTTAAAATCATGTGAGATCTCTTTGAAGTGTGTCTGCTCAGTAGAAAGAAAGAATTGTACAAAAGACTGGATGACAGAGGTCTAAGGTGTGTGCCCATGACTGACTATGTAATATGTCTGAGGCAGCTACAAAGCTTTTGGAGGTAAAGATGGCTTCGATTTGGGACAAGAAGCTGAGCTGAAAATGGGATAATATCAGAAGAGCAGGAGAAGAAGGATATAGTTAGAACTGCTCGAGTTGGTTGAGCATAGCTTTTTGTCATGGAAAAGAGAGTGTTAGCAGTCCCCTGATATCAGCAGGTTGTCCTTTAATCTTATGGTGTGTTGTGCTATTTTTAGTTACCTGTCGCAAACCTGATATTAAGTGTAATTTTATTAAAAACCAAATACATGAGCCTGGCTAAAATAACTACTGCACTAGCCTTCCTTTTATTTCAGGCTGAAATGAAACACAATATAGTTATTTTATCTGGGATGCATACACTTTCTGTAAAACAGGTTACAATGTGAGGGAAGCAACTTCCCACAGATCAATTTGACTGCCGTTTGGCAATGTTTTAAAGAGACAAACACCAGTTTCTACAGGAATTTAATAATGAAGTTTCACTTTTAATCTGTTTTGCTATATCTGTGCTATGAAGTCCCGAAAGTGGTCAGATTCATGGCAGTTTCTCAGAGTGGGAAGCAAACTACTTAGCATCTTATCTCAAAAGCCTCTGTCTGAAAACTCAGGTTTATGAAAACAGTGAAAAAAATTATATACAATGCATTTGTCATTTCTACATGCAAATATTCCTTATTGTATTTGCTTCTTAAATATACTGTTTACCATCCTGAGTTTTACAGCCAAACAAAATTCTCAGTCATTCCTTCTATATTGGCTTTGGAGAAGGCTAGAATCACTTAGCCTAGAACTACTTTCTGTTTGCAGACTCCTTCAGCTTTCAGAAATTAAACGGGTACAATGCAAAAAAGTAAACAAATTGTCTTTCACATGCATATATATATATCTGTGAGTCAAGGGCGTCAGCCTTTAGGTCCAATGTTTTTAACAGAGTGGAACTTGAAAGGCCAGTTTCAAGTTGGTGGATATTTTTAATGCTGCATAGCATCTGGTGCCTTTAGCACACTTCAGACTTTGATTAAAGGCATATTTTTGCTATGCTGTCCCATAATGGTGGGTGGGATGTTCTTCCTGCTAAACCACTAAATGCCTTTAAAGCTACCTGATTTGTATCCTCTTGAGTTCCAACCTTATTGTAACCCAGCTTAACATGTGCCTACCTCAGGTCTTGTGAGGATTATCTCCCTTGAGCCCTTCTCTACCTTATGGTAGAAACAATTCACATCCTCCAACAAGAATATTGTGATACAATGAAGTGATACAGATTGGTATGGTAATGCTCTGTTAATGACTTGCTTACCTCCCTTAATCTCAGCCAATCATTCATACAGTTTGACTAGTACAACTATGCATGTGGCTGCTGCTCATCTGAACCAGCAGAATGACTACATTTAGTTTCTAAATACCCTTTTTTATTTCTATAAGGTACTAACAAACATTACATTGAATCAAACTTGGGAGAAGCATTTTGCCAGTAATAGGCTGTCACTGTTTTAGAGAAGTTTTATTTTTAAAGATTAGTGATGTAGAACAATGTTGATGGAAGATTTTGAGGTGGGTGCTGGGGTCAAGTTCAGTTCGCATATTCCTTCTGCACCTATCCACCATTCACCCCTTTGAAAACCCTCTGCAGCTTATAAACCCACAACCAGACATGTTTCTGGCTTAGGAAAACTCTCCTATAGCTTCAGTCAGATCTGTGAATTGTTGAGTACAAAACAAAACCTTTTAAAAATTATTAATATAAGACTTTGCTTTTCTGGACATTGCTGTTAGTAACCAGGAAGCTTTATGTACTTGATCACAAAGTAATCAAAGCTTCAATTCTGTTTACTTCTGAAAATTACATTCTTAAGGTGTTATATTTATTATTTCCATTTATTTTCTAGTTAGCAAGCAATCTGAAGTAATCACAGTCAAATATTCCATGTAGGACTGACTTGATAAGGTGAATTGGATACTGAAAGAGATCAAAGTTTATAGCAAGAGGCTGTTCCCTGATCTGGTTGAGGATTTTAACTGCAGTTTTCTAGCATTTTCAGGCATTAGGTTTTCTTGTTAGGGTTAAAGCCTGAATTAAGAACCTTAGTTGCCAGGTTTTCTTCAGCATAGTGTTAAGTTTCACTTCTCTTCTACGTGGAATAAAGGTGTGCCAAAATAGTGTCATCATCTATAATCTCAGTTTAGAGAGAAGAATGAAACTTTTGCTTTTTTTATAGTGAAAATAAATGCATAACAAATAAAATAAGTTTACAGGATTTATTCACATGAAGTTGTATGAGAGTTTCTTAATGTGCTTTTTCTTTCTTTGCAGCTATTGGCTGACAAACAAGGTCCACATTAAACGACCCAGCACTGGTCTTCTCATGTATACACTTGCCACCAGATTTTGTGATGAAATTCACCTGTATGGATTTTGGCCATTCCCAAAGGATTTACATGGAAAACCAGTCAAGTACCATTATTACGATGATCTGAAGTATCGGTACTTTTCTAATGCCAGTCCTCATAGGATGCCATTAGAGTTTAAGACATTGTATGTATTACATAACAGAGGAGCACTTAAATTAACAACAGGGAAATGCATACAGTAATAAAGCTCATGTAAAGTACAACAAGAAGTACAGTATATACACCTCATCATAAAGATGTTGTGGAATGGCAATCAGATCCCAGTGATGATAGGTTTCAATACCCACTAAGCCATCAGAAAAAGGAATTTTATCAGTACATAACCAGCTATTATTCCTGTAAAGTGCTATGTAACTAAGCTATCTTGAATGCAAGGGTTCAAGTAAGTGCCACTTTTCACTAAGAACAAAGCTTGAATGTATGCTCAGTAGTGTTTACAGGTTCCAGTGACTCATCATGAATTCAAGAAGAAAAATATAGCCTGCTTGCTGCTGACTTTCTTCTGTGGTCAGGCAGCCCTCAGAAGAAATCTCCAGTGGATGGAATATTTCTTGAGCAATTAAACAAGGCTTTAGCAAAAAGATCGTGATGGAATTGAGTAGAGAAAGTGAAGTCCGTAAGATCAAGCAAATCAGTAAATGCCTTCAGTCAGAGGACTGTTCATGATCTTGTATTATAATCTCAGCTTTTCTTGCTGTTTTTCTTACTGCTGTTGGTTGGGTTTTGTTGCTTTTAAGTATTTGAGCCCTTAAAGGATTTTGAGAATGTAATTAAAGTATGTATCTTATGGACTTGTCTTAGGAAAAAAATTCATAAGGGTGGGAGGGTTGAGGGAAACATCAAATATTTTATCAATTGTTACTGTGTTGCATCCTGCTGTCACACAACCCGTAACATCCCAATTGTTTTTCTAGCTACCGCTGTCAATGCCCACTACATGGAGCCACTCAGAGGTCATTTTGATCCATTTTTAAAGAGAAGTTTTATGTTGTGTTCAAATTTGAAAACATATGAGAAGGTGCCCTTATTTTTGGTGCCAGAGATTATTTTTATACACATTATTTCTTTTCCTTGAAGAAACGGCGTAGATTTATTATGATGTTTCTTTGCCACTGAAGGGAGCATATTCTTTATGTTGTTTAAATTTTTTAGTTAGCATCTCAAAGCAAAGCTTTTTTACTGAGCTTGCATATAGAATTTCATTCTTCAGAAAAATCTGCAGGAGTAAAGATCATTTCATGCATTCAAAGATATATATACATACGCAATTTTTGTTCCTGATTTGAAAGGAAAATGCAAAGTCTAAAGGAACTCAGGTGACATTGGAACATGTCTAAAGAAAAAAAAAAGGACACCTAGCCAATTAAATAGAAAACAAAGAACTGTAGATCAAACAGTTCTTTTAAAACTGAAATTTCTGACAGTGTTGGATGATACTACTCACTTGTAACAGCTTGATGTTCTGATGTGTAATTGAAATAACAGAGAGCTGCATTATTTCACAGTGATTTTTCTGTGCATCATTCCTGTTTATCCATGAAACCACTCTTTTATTTCACAAAAGAGAACAAGAAATTACAGGAAGGTAAGAGAGGGTAAAGTGTCAGCGCAGCATATACTAACATAAAAAACCTGTCTGAATATGATGTTCTAGTGCTAATGGAGCTGGTAAATGAAGAACACCATGGTTCCACTATTTTCATGTCAGGCAAGGCTGAGGAGAAAGCATGCAGATAAAATGTATGGGTATTTTCTTTTATGTTCTCAGCTCTACGATGGGTCCTCATCTCCAAATATGATATTCCATGTATCTATTGAATTTTTAACTGACCTGAGCAATTTCTTATGTAGCACAACACTCTCAAACATTTACTAGCTAAAAGTGCCATTTATTACCCAATTTTCCTCTCAAGTTCACCTGTATTTCATCATGCATGACTAAAGGTCTGTGATTATGCAAATGTAGTAGCTAAATTACTGCCTTGCAGACAGTTCTGCAAAAAATTTTTTGGGAAATAGAAAGTTATTTTGCTGTATCTAAGACACAGTAGCATCTTTCCTAATTCACCAGTCTTTCCTACCCAAGACAGTTTACTTTGGCTATATGCTAAGGTGTGGGATGTGATCCTAACATGATCACCACTCATACCAGGGCATCATGAGGATCTAAAGAGCAATACAGACTTGAATGTGTTTAGTTTGATTTTGGTAAGCCGAAGGGTGTTATTTGTACACTGTGTATGTATACTTAAGAGTTTAGGACAAGGTTATTTCCTTGATGGAAGGTGGGAATGTTCTTGTTCTTTCAGTTAGGGTTTTGCTGCTGTTGATCTTTTAAAACTTATTTCATATACATTGACAGAATATCTGTTGAGATAAAGAATTAACAGCTGTCAGTCTCACAGAAGCTCAGAGAAGCATCTGTTTAGCTTTATCTTTTCTTCTGGGAATGGCTTGTCTTCTCTCTAGTGTCAGGCCATCAACAAAAAGGGAATGCAAGTAGACTAAAATATTAACTGACAGGTGATTTTTTTTCACCCTTTCCTGTATACCTCCTGGCTTTGTATTGCCCTGGGCAATTTGTGCATTTCTATTGAGTCACCCCAGGTCCTGAATTAAAAACCAGATTACTTCCACTGTGTGACTCTTTTTCCCTAAAGGTGACCTGGAGCATAGCACCAAAGGGTTAGCTGCTGTATAGGTACTTCACAGTGGAATAAATTTTACCTTGTGGCTCTTCACTGGGCAACATCGTAAACCTCCATAGCTGCCTTGGGTGGTTTCTGTTGATTATATACATTCACTCCTCCTGTGTTGCCTACAGCACAGATCAGACAAGCAGGTTTTATTACAATCACCATTTTTATCATCTAACACTCTCAAGAAGTAATACGAGGCAGATAGATAGGATAAAAAGAAGAAGGATCCCTAACGCTGTGATGATACCTGCGCTGGTGAGGAGCAAGTGAGGAATGCCCATCAGTTGAGTCTTCCTCAAATTGATCCTCATATCAGTCATATCAAATGCCAGCTGAAGTTCCAAAACATATGTTAAAAATAAGAACTGGGAGCTACAATCAAGACAGCAGTGTGTATTTTTCCAATTCTTACGGCAGCTTTACATTGAACAACTTCATTTAATTCAGATCAATTTATTGTGAATTGTTTATTAATGTACATGTTAATGTTTCTGTGGCAGAGTCTTTCATATTACATAAAAATAATAGATAAATATATTTGATTGTTAAGTTTTCAGCTCTGGGACAGTTCTGTCTCCCACAGCTCTGAGCTGCTGTCCAGACATAAGATAAACTGAACCTTTCAAACCTTGGCTGGTTAACACAATCTGATGTGTAATAAAGACTCTTCCATTTTTTTTGTTAAATAATGTAAGCAACATGTGCTTAGGGTCATCACCTTTTCTCTATTGACTGCAATTTGAAGAAAAACAGATGTGGATTCAGTACCTGTTTTTTAGTGTTTAATCTAGCAAAGTGCTGAGCACTCTTTACAGTGACTTTCCTGGGAGAGACATGTCCAGGATGTAGATGGGGATCCAGATTAGCATATTTCAGGGTATCACTCTGAAATTGCACATTATTTATTTTTAAGAGCACTGTTACTTTGT